CGCGTTACCTGGGAAACACGTGGTCAGGTGTTCCATCAGCGCCTCCTGCGTGACGGGCTTTCTCGCCGAGTTCATCGCTGAGATGGCCAAGCACAGGATCTCCCCGAGTGGAATAAACTGGGACTGGCTGATGGGAGACATACTGATGGGTGATACATCACCTGCAGAAAGACAATTTCCGGTTGAGCGGCTCAGTGAAAGACCCAGCACTGGGCACACCCACTTCACGCCCGCTCGCCCCTCCCACCGCCCGAGCCGGGGGATCGGGGCGCCCCAAGTCAGTCCTGGCGGTGGGGAGTCCCCCGCGATGACCGAAAGGCCATCAAGCATGCGGCTTTCAAAAGTGGTCTCTGTGGTTATCCACCTGCCCTGACTTCTGAGCGGCCACACACCTCTGGCCACACGGTTGTCGGCAGGTGCAGGGTTCCTGCGTGCAAGTGCTGGGGGATCTTTCTGGAGACAGACGGTAGGGCCCCCCAGCTTCTCTGCCCTCAAGGCGTGTCCATGTCAGTGGGGGGACTGAAGGGCGACGTCCACTCACAGCCAGTGGGGAGCTGGAGCAGAGGCAGCCACGCACCCTCCGCGGGGCAGGGAGCCCGTTGGGGGAGGGAAGCCTGAACCCAGGGTGCAGGGATGGGGAGGGGGATGGGACCCGCTCTCAGAGACTGAGGGGCGTAGCGGGGGTCGGTGGGGGGGTGCAGGGACAGGGAGAAGAGCTGCCGCCCCATCCCCAGCCCCCTGCCCCCAATCCAGGGGCGGAACAGGCGGAGCGGAAGCAGCAGATGGTGCGGTCGGGCGCGGGCGGTGGACCCTCGTCCTGCACATACCCGGCCCTGGCGGCGCGAGCGGGCAGAGCGGGTGGTGGGGAGCAGAGGCCAGGCCGCCGGGCAGCTGCAGCCAGTGCCCCTGCGCTCTGGGTGACTCCACAGTGGGGTCACTGCCCAGGGAGCGGCCACACTCCTAGAATCCCCGGGGAGGTCCCTGGGATGGCAGCGGTGGCCCCAGCAGCGGAGAGGAAAGCCAGCTGCGACATCAGGGTCCCATACTTTGGGGTTCTGCAAGGGTTTAGGGTCACAAGAGCTCACAGACAAGGGCAGCAGCCAGCAGGGAGCCTCTGGCGAGCTCCAGCCCAGCTGCCCCGGGCGAGGCTGGCATCGCTGTTAGGACCCCCAGCCTGCGGCACCCAGCGGCGCCCTCCCCGGGACAGGTCGGGTGCTTTGGGGTTGCCAGCCACCTCAAGGTCAGGGTGCTGTGTGGGCCCCAGCCCCTAATTTGCTTGGGACTCCAGAGGCCCTCTGGGGCAGGGCTCGGACCTGCTCTGAAAGGCTGGAGGAGAAGCGGTTTCGTGGCTGAAGCCAGGGCTTATGGAGGCTGCAGGTGAGTCGGGGGAAATCTAACAGGTAAAGCGCTGGGACCCTGCCAAAGGCTGAGGCTCGACCTTTGCCCCCGCCCCCCCAGCCCAGGTCAGTTCAGCGCTCGGGCAGCCCCATTGTGGCTCTGTCCCTGAAAGACGGGTGAGGGACAAGAACCTTCCAGTGGCCGGGGGGCGGAGACCCATATCCAGAGCAGAAGCTGGAGATGAACCTCTCCAGGGTCCAGGACCAATCCCACTTACAACCCCACATCTCAGGGATGATGCGGTAGTAACCATGGCAGAGAAGCCGTCTGAGAGGTTGTGACACACGCTGGCCAGGGTAGACGTGGCAGGGACAGAGCGTGGAGCGTGGGGCTGTCAGGGGGTGTGTGAATTCCACTCACTGGCTGGGGAAGGTCGGTTCACACTGGTGCGTCAGACTGAACAGCACTTGCTTCTGCTTAGTGCATTTAAGTCTTAAAACAGCATCCTGTTGTGCCCTTAGCTGCAGCAGCATCTTACCCCAAAGGCCCTGTGTGCGAGGTGAACTAGGGGTGATGGCAGCGGGCAGGAGCCGTGGGAGCCTGGAGCCCCGCTGGTCCAACCGTCCCCACCCCAGGGTCTCCCCGCGGTGCCCTGCTCACTCCTCTACAGCACAGGGCCAAGGGCGCAGAAGGTAGGCTAGCCAAGGTGACCTCAAGGTCACTGGGATGACCGCAGAACTCAGACGGGAAGGAAGGTGGAGAGAGCTGGCTGTGGGCAGACAAGTGTTTCGGGACCTCTGGACTTGGGAACCACGGGGGGCGCCCACCTTCTAAAATCTGTCTGTTGTAATTAAGAAGTTATCACAAGTCTAAAGATAACGCCAACACTAAACGTGAGTCTTTAAAGCTGCAGATGTGACTATTTTCTAACTTTACACAGGTCACAGGAGGGAACTTGAGCTCGTGTAAGAAACCAATGACCATCAGCAAAATTAACTACTTGAGTGTGGGTCACGCCTGTCCTTGTGCTTCAGCTGAAATTGTCTCGTTTAACAGCCATCTTCTAAGTTAATTTCTTTTCATTCATTGCAGCTAAGAAAGGAGAGGCAGCAGCTGTAAGTCTGAGCTGCATTTGCTTAGAAAGAGAAAAACTCAGTGTCACTGGAATAATGAATATGTACAATAACTTTTAACTCAGGATATGGAATGAAATGGAATTTCCATGCACTAAGTGGCCATCGCCACATTATCTCATTTTTATATTGCACAAACATATATTACCATCACCTCCCTGCCCATCCCCAGGCCCACTGGTAATCGGTCCAGTCCACACCCAGGCTTGCTGGTGTCTGCCTCCACCCACCCCAAGCCGCCATCACGGCTCACTACCCCATGTGACGGCTGGATGCCTCTGGGCTTGCCCCACTGACCCCCCGACACACACACACACAGCCAGTCTTCTTAGAGAAACATAAAGCATGTCCCGTCCCTGCACAAAGACCTACCGGGACTACCCACTGCGCCTGGAAGGCGACCCCTGCAATCTCAGGTCTGAGCCCGCCCACCCACCTCTGGGACCTCACCCACCATCGCCTCCTTATTCCTACATGCTCCCAACTCGCTGTGCTCTGGACACACTAAGCTGCTTCAGAGCCCGTGGCCTTTGCAGTCGCCTCACCCTGGCCATAATGCACCCATACAGACCTCCCTCCATGGGGAGGATTCCTGTCACGGGTTTCTATTTACAGGGAGCCCTTCTCTGACGACCCAGCCCAACGCGATCCCGGGGTCACTCTCGCACTCATCCCCAGTGCCCAGAACAATGCGATTAACCTAGACACCCAACAGATGTATGTTGAGTGAATATTATCATCTAAGGATTTTTGCAGGGTGTCTTAAAAGGGTTGCGATTTCATTCATATTTTTTTGCTGAACAATTGCAAAGCAAACCGAAATATTAGCAAGACCAAATATATTTAACCAGACAATTTCTAAGACTCCCTCCATTAGCTTCATGAATGATCCCCCAAACAGAGCCATTATCACAGAGAAACAATTTTAAGTGAAGTCTAACAGGAGCGGTTAAGATCAGGCTAGTGGACAGCGCTCAACAAGACACGCACGAGTCGGTTCACCCTGACTTCCCAGGATCTCATGTCAGGGCTGCTTAACAAGCCAACTGCTCATTCTGGAAATCTGCTGTTAAACATTCTCCAACAACTAGGCCGCATTTATGGTCCAAGAAGAAAACTGGGGATGTAAGCACTACTGAAATACTGTGGTCACCATAATCTAGAGACACGCCGCAGTTTGCATAGACTCTGATTTGCAATTTTATAATCTGTGGTCTGGAGGTTTCTGTCTTCACAGTGAGTTCTAAGCACATGTATAAAGACAACTCTTCTGAAAGCTCAACCCTACTTTGTGGCCTACTCATTCCTTCTAAACTGCTATATTCTGTCCCACTGTTCTAAAAAGAAGGGGTAAATAGATTTTATTTCAGTTTTATCTTCTTACAAGCATCTACTCAAGTGCAGTCCTCATGGATCACTGTCAAGTCCACGATGATTCAGATCAACCAAGCACAGTGCCTTGGGAAGTGTAAGAGTCAGTACACTTCTAGATGCATTTAAAATGTGAGCACAAAGGAATAGGTGATGGCACGCAGGTGAGTCGGGGAATGTCACAGGACTGTAAGACAAAAAAGCCTACATGGTACAAAAACGAAGAATGATGTAAAAATATATAAACTTCAAACTAAAATGTGAGATGTGAAAATGACACCATGGTACGTAAACTTCTATGATGTTAAGAACACATACCGTCGTATTTCACAGCTCTGTGAACATTGGGATAGTTTTCACCGCTGAGAAACACGCGGAGAAAAGCAAAGTTGCCTGGTGGTGATGAGAGGAGTGGAGGGTGGAGATGCCCCTGCAGCTGCAGAGACATGTGGACAGCAACGGGGAGGCAGGCTGAGCCCCGCTGGGGTCAGGGTATTAATTTTGGCACAGCTGAGGCAGGCTGGTGCAAGTGGTGAAGACCAGGAAGAGGTGCGTCCTGGTTGACCAGTCGCTTGATGCTGGCTGACAGCTGCTGTACAGAGGAACCATGTGACGCTGTGTTAGAAAACTCCTCCTGTTCTCTAACAGAGCAGGGGATGTCACAACCACCAAGGCAACTGACCAGAAGGACCGAAGGACTGGCCGAAGGTGCGGGAGGCTGGCTCTTACTGTCACAGCGCCTTCTGCTTCAGAGACTGTTATCATGCACACACATCTTTACCATCTAAGCCCTTTATCTGTTTTCCTTCCAACTTTTGGCCAGATTCTGTAGCTGGAATTATTTCTCAAAAATTCTTTCATATAATTCTCCTTTCCAAAGACATAGTTGAGGGTCTATTTTATACCCCGTACCTTTTAAGGCTCTTGCGTTCCCAAACAGTTCCTAACTTGCTTCTGTTTATGGGCCCTGCCGAAAGGACTGTAATAAAGCACCGTCCTATATCAATGCCATTTATTTTCAGTCATTAACTTAGGTTCGCTGTACTCCCCAACCTTGGCTTATGAGGGACGACAGTAAAACTCCCTCAGAAGATGTGACTTTTGTGACAGCTTACATCCATCCCTTCTGCAGACCGAAGGGGACACCAACAAACAAAACAAACATAAATCTGTTTCCTTTCAGCTTAACGTACCTATTTCCATACAAGTGCCAGAGAAAAGGAAAGCCAGCATTGCCTTGGGCTAAGCCATAGCATCAACTACAACCTTGAAACTACCCTCAAGTCCTTCTGTCCTCCCCTTCCTTAAATAAGGCTGTT